AGGAGGAGGAGGCGGAGGGAGAAGAAGAAGAGGAAGGGGAGGAGGGAGAAGAAGAAGAGGAAGGAGAGGAAGAGGAGAGCAAGGAACCAGAAGGAGAAGAAGGAAAAGAAGAAAAAAAGATAAGGAGAAAAAGAAGAAAAAAGAGCAGCAGCAGCAGCAGCAGCATCAACATGTTTTGAATCTAGAAATTAAATTAATTATTGCTTATGGCAGTTCCTAAAAAGTGTACTTCTAAAACAAGGAGAGGAAGGAGAGGAAGGAGAAGAAGGAGAGGAGAAGAAGGAGAAGAAGGAGAAGAAGAAGGAGCAGCAGCAGCAGCAGGAGAAGAAGAAGAAGGAAGAATGAGGAAGGAGGAGGAAGAGGAAGAAGAAGGAAGGAGGAGGAAGAAGGAAGAAGAAGGAAGAAGAAGGAAGAAGAAGGAAGAAGAAGGAAGGAGGAGGAAGAGGAAGAGGAAGAGGAAGGAAGGAGGAAGAAGGAAGAAGAGGAAGAAGAAGAGGAAGAGGAGGAGGAGGAGGAGGAGGAGGAAGAAGAAGAAGAAGAAGAAGAAGAAGAAGAAGAAGAAGAAGAAGCCCCTGCTCTGCCAAGAATATGTACCTGTGCAGCCTCATCAATAACAACTGCATCGAAGAAATCTTCAGCATGTGCCATCTGCTGTCGGTTCTTCAAGGTGGCACTCTGGTTGCCCACATCTCCCATTAGAGCAGCATACACATCCCCGCCACAGCCGCTCAGTGTGGTGACAACCACCTCCGCATCCCTTATTATCTTCTTCCTTAACGCCTGCGTTTTAATTCGCTTTTCCTCTGCAACCTTCCTTTCTTCCCTTTCAATTGCCTGCAGATTCGCGCATATCTCTTTCTTCTTCGTATACAATTGATTCAGCTTGCATCTAAACTCACTGGAGCTCGGATCCGTCAACTCAGGAGCTGTAGAAAATCCTTGCTTTGCTGATTGATTAGCTGCACCCATGGCTGCTTCCTCAGAAGCACCCCCTGTGCATGGCTCTGTGTTTCCAGGATTATCATGCAGTGACTGGCGACTTTCCATAGCTTGAATCGACTCTAGAATCTCTCCCAGTCGGGACTTCAACGCTTCAGCCTGAGACTCTGCAGAATCTCGTGGACCAACCGCACCCATCTCTTCGCTGACAAGATGATCAATAAAAACCGGCATCTGAACACAGTAAAATAGAACATTAGGATGGAATCCCATGGATGCAAGAACACCAGCCCTTGTGAAAATTCACCGCAGCAACCCCTCTCCATCTGTTCCCTAAACAATCAGCACAGCACCGCCTTTTAACCTGTATGTGTCTCTATGCATCCATGAAAGATCCCCCACAATCAAAGCCAGATCCTTGCAGAAGCTACAATGGGTAAACAAGCAGGGCCAGCGCGGCTTCGCCCGCGTCAACAAAGGGTATGTGTGGGATTCAATTTAGTTTGTATGAGAGCTGGGAAGGAAAAAACAAAAAAAAAAGGAGTCGTCATGCGTTGGTTTCGAACAATGGCCTATAGTACCCCTACACATAGATAGCACAAAAGGAAAACATGATGATTTGGTGCAAACAGGAATAAAATCTATGTGATTTTTCAAACTGGGACTCCAATAAATTGTGATTTTACTTTTAGGTTGTGAAATGAAGAATTGAGTGTTTCCTAAAGATGCGCACACGTACAGACACGTCCTGTTTACACACGACGATAAGGTTGAATATTAACATGATTCAGGATATTACGAACGTCCAGTCATGTGCTTACTTGTTGAGTTCTGACTTTCAGTGTTTTCTTAACATATTTGTGATCAGCCGATCTTGTATATATGCCTTGTGCTTACTTGTTGAAATATGAGTGTGTGCATGTGCAAGTGCATGTATGTGTGCGTGAGTCTCAGTTGGGCCCACATGGTGAGATTGATGATTGGAGGAGGGGAGTAGTCGGAAGTGGCCTTCAATTATAAGAGTGCCACTGATGTTAAGCAGGTCTTGTAATGCATAACTGAAGTTATCAGCATCCAATCTGCTTGGCAGTTGCTGTTCGCGAGGGGGAATTGCCGAAAGAGGCGTTGTCATGTGAGCCGTAATGCTGGGATCGCATCTTGGAGCATTTCCTGGAACGCAAAAGCCGAAGACAAAACCAAGCAGCACATGTCAGAATCACATAATGGACTCTGGTAATCTCTCTCTCTCTCTCTCTCTCTCTCTCTCTCTCTCTCTCTCTCTCTCTCTCTCTCTCTCTCTCTCGTGTGCGTCGCTCCCCCCCCTCCCCCCCAAAGACCTCCTCGTGATTTGTCGATTAATAGGGCTGGTTTCTATGTTTTCCCCCTTTGTTTGGATTGGACAGAAACAGAGAAGATCTCCTCCCTCCCCGCCCTTACTCGGCCCGATGTCCACCCAACCTCCTTCCGCCGATCTCCTCCCTCCTTGCCCTTCCTCGGCCCGATGTCCACCTGACCTCCTCCATTCCCACATCCAACCGACCACCTTCCTCCACCCAACCTCCTGCCGCTCTTCCTCCTCCTCATGCTCTTCATGCTATTCCTCCTCACGCTCTTCATCCTCATCA